ACCCTAACTATTCTATGATTCTATGTGCTTTTAGTTCCTTACCTTCCACCATCTTTGCTGCTAATGGTCCTCTCTGGGACCCCAAACAACTCATTAAAGCAGCAGAAAACAACTCAAGAAAAATAAAAAATATGTTTTCCATTATTTTACCAGTTTTGCAAGTAAGTGCAATAAGTGTCAGCTCCTAAGTAGAAGACACAGCTGGAAGCAGGGACAAGGAGAGGAGGCAATGAGAGAGAAGAGAAGAGAAGGTGGGATCTCTGACCTCCAGTCAATTACTTGGTCTGTCTGAGCCTGGAAGCTTAAGATTCTACAAGAGACCCATCAGTGTTATGTTGGAAAACCAGCATGTATCTTCTCTTTTAGAGTATGCTGTCACATAATGTTTTAATGTAAATGCCATTGCTTATTTTGTCCTGGGAGATCTTAACAGGTTGCTGATAGCAGCAGCTTGTGTTTTCTCATAACTCAAGTCCAGCTTGTGACACTTGGTAGTAGATGAATCAAGCAATGTCATGGACTGACTGGTAAAGATGGTGTCCACTGAAGTCATATGCATTGTGGAGTATGCTCTTGTCATGGACCTAGATCACCTGCTAAATCTCATAGATAAACCGAAGTTGGCCAGTTTGTTAGGGCTTGTCATGGGGCAGGGAAGGGAGTGAGTTCATGCATGACAGCCAAAGTTGTTTGCTTCAGTCCTTGTATGTTTTGAAGCAAACTTGACTTTCTCAAAAAACTACAGCAGTTGTGCATTTTGCTGCTTGGCAGATGTGGCTGCATTGCCTTGTTGCATATTATATGTTTATGTAAGGAGTAGTTTGTACTTTAGTGAAAGAATGCTTATAGACAAAATACTCATAGGTTTTAAATCTGCCCAGTGCCATCCTAACATGCAAACAAGATGACAGATATGAGTTGAAAACAATATTTAACAGAGCAGCATACTAGATGAGCACTAGAAATACTTGAATCCTTGGAGGGAAATCTCTGTATTCAGTGCTAAGCTCCCATAAGTGAAAAAGAACTAGATAACCCCAGACAGCATCTCTAGTAAGAGCTGGTCTTGATTTCTTTGTCTCTTGTATCTGCAGAAACAGCTTGTGGAAACAGATTCATTGTATCTAAATTGTTTTTCTGTATACATTAACTCTGTAGTTTGTTTCCATTTTTGTTCAGTTCAGGCAGAGGTGATTCCTGCTATTCTACAGAGTGCATCCAATGGGTATTTGCTGGGGCAGGGAGGATACCGCCCCAGAGACATCTGTGTCTCCGCACCTACTGGCAGTGGTAAAACCCTGGCCTTCGTCATACCCATAGTCCAGGTGAGTTTACCCCTAGCGAAATGTCTGTAGGGAAAAAAAAAGTAGGGAAAATACTGGGGTTGCTTTTGTCAAGAGAAATTTAAACTTGGGAGTAGGTCAAAGAGCTAAGGAATTTGGGGATGCAAAGCAGCAGTATTTAGCTTAGAGCTGTTTGAAGGATCTGTGTAAGTTCGCATTGTCTTAGTATCTCACTCCTTTTCTCAGATAGCAGGCACAGAATAAGGAGTTGGGAGGGTGAAAGGGAGTAAAATGGAAATATAAAACTCTGTGTGGATATATCAAGCCCATCTCTTCCCACTAGGTTAGATACAAAACTCCCCATTGCTTTCGGAGACTTATTTGGCCTTTATTCTGGCAGGTTCTGCTAGATCGAGTAGTTTGCCAAGTACGAGCTCTGGTGGTGCTGCCCACCAAAGAACTGGCACAACAGGTATGTGGCTCTTCACCTTCTCTCTGAGCAGAATTGGGTGAGAGAAAGACTGGTTGTTGTGGTTTAAGCCCAGCTGCCAACTCGGAACCACATAGCCGCTCGCTTGCTCCCCCCTGCTTCTTCCTTCCCCTGCTCCCAGAGGGATGGGGAGGAGAATCGGGGGAATGTAACTCCCACGGGCTGAGATAACAGCAGTCCAGTAACTAAAGTATAATACAAACCACTACTGCTACCACCAATAATAATGATAAGGGAAATAACAAGGGGAGAGGACACAACCGCTCACCACCCGCCGACTGATACCCAGCCCGACCCGAGCAGCGATCTGGGCCTTCCAGGTGACTCTCCCCAGTTTATATACTTGGCATGACGTGCTGTGGTATGGAATAGCCCTTTGGCCAGTTTGGGTCAGGTTTGGGTCCTGTCTCTGCTTCCTCCTGGCTTCCCCTCCTCCCTGGCAGAGCATGAGACTGAGAAAGTCCTTGGTTGGAGTATACATTACTGAGCAACAACTAAAAACATCGGTGTTATCAGCGTTGTTCCCAGACTGAAAGTCAAAAACACAGCACTGCGCCAGCTACTAAGAAGGTTTAAAAATTACTGCTGTAGCTGAACCCAGGACACTGGTGCAGTCCATACTTTCCTTGGCTGTTCTGTGAAGCAGGCTGAAGACCTGTCAGTGGGTTTGGTGTTGTTAGTGTAATGGGAAGTATTATTTTAACTGATTGTGAGTGAAAAAGCTTATCTCTTTGCAGGTGAGTAAAGTGTTCAACATTTACACTGATGGAACAGGTCTGAAGATTGTTTTGATTACTGGCCAGAAATCATTTGCAAAGGAGCAGGAGATGCTTGTCCAGAAAAAGTAGGTTGAAAGGGTTTTGATAAGGTTTATAGAGATTGTAAATTACTTAATCTCAGTGAGCAGAAGTCAAAATACAGGCTGTTACATCACACCGTCATGCAATAATGATTTTGAATAGTGGGTGTATAAGCTAAAATAGTTGTTCTGTCTGACAAAGTGCCTGCTACTACCCCTTTTCTGCGATGATACTTTACTAGATTAGTGAGGTTCTTCACCAGCTGAGTAGAATGTAGACATTAACCTTGTACCCACAGGTACCAATGATTGTTACGGGATTTTGCTGCAATTAAGTTTTTTTAAAGAACAGTGCTTTCTGTTTAAAATGAGGCAGTACAATGGAGAACACAGTTTAGTGTCCAGCACAGCCTGTGTATGCTCTCCGAAGTAAAGTACGTATTGGAATTTTATTATTTCTTTGTTAATTAAATAGTAGGAATATCTTAAAGTCTCCTGCCCAGGGGTCTCTATTACATACTCTGTGATGTAGGGAGAAACTTACTAGTGACTGCTTGTTCTTTCAGAGTGACAAGCTACTGCAGCCTGGCTGATATTATTGTGGCTACACCAGGGCGGCTCACAGATCACATCAGCCAGACCCCAGGGTTCAGCCTGACGCAGCTTCGCTTCCTGGTGAGTCAGCTCCACAGGTCTCCCATATTAGTGCAATGTCTGTTGCAGCTGTAATTCCTGCTTTGTTCTTGCATGATGTATAAATACTTCTCTGTTGGAACTGTTGAATGGGCCTGGTCTGCACTTGATTGCTCAGGAAGCAGTCTTAAGATGAGATGTTTTATTCCACCTCATGACACTCAAGCGTCTGCCCACTTCCCTTTCTCTCTTAGCCTCTTGCGAACAGAAACATAGAGTAAAGCCTTATCAGTGGTCAAAGTCAAGGTAAATTATCAGCCTGTTGTAGCTTCTCCCATATGGGAGTCTGTACAGAGACATAGTTATAATATTATTTAGGAGATGGAGATTTTTCTCTCTTACTCAGGGGCACAGATTTATGCACAAATGAACTTGTGTTTATTTTTGAGTGTCAGGCTAGCTAGAAGCTTCTAATATCTTATATGCTGGCTCACTTGTTATAGATACAAAAGGAAGATAAAAGCTTCCTAGTGCTAGACAGTATTTAACAAGTAGTGCTTTTCATCCTTGTGAGTTCAGGTCATAGATGAGGCTGACCGTATGATTGATGACATGCACCAGAACTGTTTGAACCAAATTGTCAAAGCTGCATTCCGAGTAGAAAATGACTGTGGCTCCAGCATGCTTTTTCAGAGGACCAAACCAGGGCCTACAACAGCAGCCAGGTGAGTTGCAGAATGCATTTCTTTGAACAGATAACACGGATGCCAGCACTCACATGTCACTGTTTGCTTCACAATACTTTCTCACAGGCATTCCCAAAACTTCCTTGCTCTGAGAAATGTCTGCCAAAGTAAGGCAGCTGCTTTTTCAAAGCAGCTTGAAAAAGCAGGCATTAAACAAGCTAATGTTAGAGGATGTCTTTTAGACTGAAGCCTAAGTGTTGTATTCTCCAAGCTTTCCTTAACTAGACTAAAGGAACATCAAAAGAATGCACAAATACTGCAAGTGCGTGATTCATTTGCACGGTAACTATAGTGATGCCCTCTGGCAAGCTGAGTAGTGGGTTTGGAAGAAAACTCTTTATCTGCAGCTACTCTTTTCATACAGCATGGTAGAAATGTGTCAGAAACTGCAAACAGTGACCAAGGAAGGAGGCAAATAGAATAAGGACATGGGTAACTAGAATGTACGGATGTGTCCAGGGGTAACAGCTTGTGCAGTTGGTTGACGGTGCTGACCAGTTCTGTCTGTGAACTCCACCATAAAACAAGGGTGCAGAAGAACCTACAGGAAAGGCCCAGGGCAGGAAGAGAGCATCAAAAAGAGTTAATTGCTTTCCTCAAAACATCATCTGAAGGCACTTGTGGAGGAACTCCTTTGTCCCATCCTCAAAGCTCAGTTTCCGTGTGCCATTTATTTCAGCTCCTGCTATCCTCAGATACCCTTACAGAAACTGCTGTTTTCAGCCACGCTGACCCAGGACCCAGAGAAACTGCAGCAGTTGGACTTATTCCAGCCTCGCCTCTTCACATCTGTCTATTCTGAGAAAAAAACACTCGGAGATGGAACAGAGACTGATCAAGATGCTAATAAGAAATACACACTCCCTGAGGGGCTCTCGGTATGACATTAGTTCTCTTGAATAAATTATACTTGAAGAGTCTTTAGCTCTGGAGTATAAAGTTATGTTTTTACCCTGTGGTTCCTTGCATTACAGAGGTGCTGGCTGAAATACTTTGGGAGTATTTATGACCCAGAGAGCTCTACCTTCACATATTTGTTTTCTCATTAATTTGTGTTAATTTAGTGAAGATTGGATTGATTTTAATTTTTTTTAAACTCTTTTCATGCAGAATTAAGTTTACCTGCAATAGGGAGTGGAGATATGAAGTAATAATAATGTAGTAGCACTTATCAACTGTCCATAAGTGTAACATGCATTTCAAAGCATGTAGATACAGGTCACCCTGTAGGCAGGAAGGCAGTGCATGTTGTTACTTGCTGTGAGAGGTGAGAACATTAGAACAACACAGATCTCCCATCTTTACCTTGTGTTGTATCCTGTAACTGACTTTCTCAAAAGGGGGTGGCATTGTGGGGTATTGTTTTACTGCTATTAGTCAGTTGTAGAACATCCAAGCCTACGTAGGTCATGGACAGGTAGTGGGTTTCAGAGAAGATTGCCTTGACAAGAAGTAATTTAACTTCTTCCTTCTTGGCTGCAGCAATGTTACGTGCCATGTGACCTGAATTCCAAGCCTTTGCTCCTCTTGCATTTCATGCTGACAATGAAATTTACCCGTGTGTTGTGCTTTACCAACTCCAGGGAAGCTTCTCACAGGTGAATATATTGAAATCACTATAGTGGGTATCTGTCAAGTAGTGTTACAGAGGTAAAGAAGTGACTGATCCCATTTACCTACAGATTGTTCCTGCTGGTTCGAGCCTTTGGTGGAGTCCCTGTAGCTGAATTTTCTTCTCGGATACCCCCAAATGAGAGACAGAGAACCATAAAGGAGTTTGAACAAGGAAAAATACAACTGTGAGCATCTTAAATTAGGGGGTTTTTGCACATCTTATAGGCTACTTCTGGTGTGAAAAGCTAGGTAGAACCAAGAACACAGTTAAATGTGGTAGTCTGTATACAAAGCCTGCAGGAACCAGCTTACAGCATGGGTGTGAGACTTGGACTTGTGACTTCTGAATTTTTTACCCTGCATGTAACTTGGCCTGTTATAGTCTGGCCTCAATCTGAATTTCTCTGTGTTATTTTGTAACAAGCAGTAAATGCAACTGCTGATTCATGTAGTTGCCCAGAACACACACAGTTCTGAAAATCTTAAATTTAATGTGTGTGCTTGGCACCTGGTACTTTCTGGAAGAATATGAATGTTGTTGGTACTTCCTACCAAAGAAATCCCTGATAAGACTGGCATACAGATTTAATTCTATCCATGTGTTTGATTTGCTTTGTGATTTTGATAGCTATATGGGATTGAATCTGTGGAATGTCTCTGAGAAGAAGGGTAAATACTTACTTTCTTGGGTTTTCTGTTTATCAAAGCCTGGTATTTAAATTCCTCCTTGACTGCTGGAATTTAACACCTCGCTGTCTGTGTTCAGTGCCTTTATGGAAAGTCAGTGGCTGGTTGCAGAGTTTGAACAGAGAGTAGCAAGAGTTGTGCTGTGTTCACCTGTGTTACTCTTGTGTGTGCAGTGCAAGAGATGTGACCTGAAAATGACTTTTTATACATTTAAAACCAGGTTAATCAGCACAGATGCCACTGCACGAGGGATTGATGTTAAAGCAGTGAATTATGTTATAAACTATGATGCGCCGCAGTTCATCAGGACGTATATTCACCGGTAAGATAACCAGGAGCAAAAGGAAGATGTCTGAGCTTGGTTTACTTTGAAATGTTTTGCAAGGGGTTTGAAAGGGGTTTTAGCTTTGGATTTTTTTTTTTTTTACTTCAGTAAGCAAATAGCTTTGTAATGAAATTAAGCCTGTAGCATCACTGGAGTAATGCAGTATTGACACAGAGAATTAGCACCCTATTATAGAAAGTGTGTTTTCCAGGAGCTAGAAATCCTGTCCTGGGCAGCGTTGAACACTGGGTTTCTAGATGATCAGAAAACTCCAGTGGCTCAGCAGCTGTGAACAACCACTGGAAATGATCGTCCTTTGTAATATAGGGCTACTCTTGCTGTGTTAACCTCAAAACCCCCTCAGATTTAAGTAAGTGATTCTGGAGAATTTCAGAATCAGACTCTTGGAGCTGATAATGCCAGTGACTCTATGGCTAAACGGACTTGATACTACCTTTTCCATTTGCAGAGTTGGAAGAACGGCTCGTGCGGGGAAAATGGGTGTTGCTTTCAGCTTGGTCCTTAGAATTCAGGTAGGTTGGTGGTGGGGGATTTCCTTTGATAAGGGTACATGCTGGGGCATGAGGAAGATAAAGGTTCATGCTACTTCCTACCTTTTCCAGTCAGCTGAGCATTGTACTTGGAAACTTCAATTATTTCCTAACTAGGCAGCATATTGCAAAATGTGCTTGCTTTCTAGGCAATAGGCAGTGGGGTGTCTCATCTCCTGTGTCTGTTTTGTTATGTAGGAACGTAGGTTTCTGCAGATGTTGAAGGATGCTGGCATCCGAGATATCAAGAAGCACCCAGTGAAGGGCAATTCATTAAAGCCATTGGTGCAGCGATATGAGGAAGCTCTGTGTAAGCTTGAGAAGACAGTCAAGGTAATGGAAATGGGGAAGAAAATTGCAACTCATGACTAGGACAAGTGTCAGTGTCCAGTCTCCTTTCCTTTAACTGAGACATTTCCATTTCAGTGCAAAGTCAGCATTTGTGGCTGCATTATTATGAAATACTCCGAAAGGGTGAGGGTGGGAGAAAGAGGAAATGTTAAAGGAAAGATAAGAGCATCCACGGAGGTATTTAAAATGTGGCACTTAGGGACGTGGTTTAGTGCTAGATTTTGCAGTGTTAGGTTTATGGTTGAACTTGATCTTAAAGGTCATTTTCAACCTAAATGATTCTATGATTTTTGGTGTTTCTTTTTCTGTTCTGCCTTTCTCTTTACCTCTGGAGCTGGGATTTTGGTAACTACCCAGAGGAAGGCAAACAAAATGCAGAGATTAAGCCTTTTGTCATACAGTTTTAAGACTGCAAACTACATCCATGCTGACTAGAAGTTGGGTATTCCAAACCAGGAAAGTATTTTGTGTAGGCCCACTTTTATAAACAAGTGGGAAGGTTGAGAGCTCTCAGATAAAAGCAGAGTAGCATTTAACTTGCCAGATGAGTAAACTGGGGATCCATAATGGACTTTCTTTGCTGTGTGATTTGGGCAAGTGTTCTGTGCTCCAATTTGAGGGTTCCTGATAAACATCTGTCCTTGAAAAATCATGATTTTGAATTGTAGGAATGAGAATTAGGGCAAAAAGGATTATTAAATTGTCCCATTGCTCCCCAAAGTCCCTTCTGTGTGGCTCTGAGCCAGGGGCATCTTCAGTCACCTTCTCAACTTTAATTTTGAACAGAATGAGCAAGCACAGAAGCGAGCCTGAGTGAATAGATGCCGAGGAGGCTGTTTCATGGCACGGAAGCTGCTGACTGGGACAGGTCATGGACTACTACACAGCGCAGTAAAAATGAAACACAGTCTCTGAATGGTTGGCTCCTCAACCTTATCATAGCTGAAGTCAGCTGTTACAGGGCTAGTTCCCCTTTCAAGGTCACTGTGAACAGAGTTCAGCTACTGGTCTAAAAAAAATAATTTTGAGATACAGTTATCTTGAAGAGGACTTAGCATCATATCTGACTGCGTGTGTAAAACTGCCACCAGTAAACAGGAGCCATGACACAGCTCTTGAGTGTGGGCCTGGTGGAACTGCTGGCCTCCAACAGACAGCTAATGGTTCTAGCTTACTGGACATGCAGCTGCCAATACACAAACAGCTACACGGTGCCTGGAGCAGAAATGTGTTTGAAGAGCTGCTCTAGGCTGAAGTGACTGTGACTTTTAAATAAACACAATGTATATTTAAAACAGTGTCTGATAAAGTTTCCTGGGAACAAGGATGAAGAGGATTTTCATGCCTTTCTTGTAATTTTCTTCCCTGCATTCTTTCTTCCACCCTTCAGTACTAGTGGTAGCAGCAGGTGTTACTGAGTGTTGGATTGGTATTAATGCAGACTGAAATGTCTAATGTCTAAAATGAATATATGTATTGGAGTCAGCTAGTATCACCACAAGCCATAGCTCTGTATTTGACATGTGCCACTGATATTTTTAGCTGCTTCTGGCAGAATGCGTAGAGGTACCACATAGCTGCAGCATGCAGCTACCCTGCAAGGCCTTCAGTAGGAAATGACTCGGCTCTGACTTACAATTTTGTGAAACAAAATAAATGTACACCAGCACTGGCTGGTGTATGTCATTGGAACAAAACAAAGGGCTGGGAGTCTATAGGGATGGGTGTCAGAAAGGGTGGTTGTATCTTCTAAAGGAGCAACATGGGGTTGTTTTGTAGCAGTGAAGTTGTGTGGCTGTTTTCTCGAGCATGGGGTTCCCAGGCAAATGTCAGAGCAGCAGAAGTGGAACACCCTCATATGCAAGAGCTGTGAGTTCGCATAAGCAGAACAAGCCTCTACCCCCTCTTGTGCTTCCTTATCGAAGCAATTCAGGGCAGTTAAAACAAGCCCGAGTTGAAACAGCAGAGCCTGGTCGGACCTTTGTCCTGAGGCAGTGCCACTGCCCCTGCCCTTTGGCACTACGCGGAACGACCCTGCGGGGCGGTCCCACTCCGAGAGGCGGCCCCTCGGCTGAAGACCCGGGTCCGGACCGCAGCC